AGACCCCTCTCATATCTTTATTTGTTTCCTTATAACGCACACATATTTTCGATCTCCGGCTCTCAATCTGGTGAGGAGAGGATTTTTAGCATAAAACATTTGCCAACTGCATATGTCTGATTATAAAACGCATTAAAACGGCGATATAAAACTGAACGAAAATCACTGTCAAAAGCCGTCATTGGCATTTTTGTATTGTAAATTTGTTAAAACGATAGCAAATTATGCCCTTGAGCATTTTTTTTTTTTTCCCCTGAAATTCAAATGATAATAAATACATCAATTCTTGTGGTTACAAGCATATACCAGCACATACAGAAAAACAAAAAGAAACACTTTATACATCTTATGGAACTCTCAATTCACAATCCCTCTATAATACATTTGTATATAATCCATCACAAGATAATCCCTAACTATAGTTTCTCTGTCTTATGCATCAGAAAATTTACAACACAAGATTCAACAAATGACCAACTCCTGTGCAGCAACTCCTCCTTTCGCCGAACAATCAGCCACAGAGTTCTGCTCTCTATAAACATACACAAATCTCACCTCCTTGTTCACATAAACATCCACAACCTCTTGCCAAGCGTTCTTAGAGACCATGGAACCTAACATTCCTTACTACTCTATTGAACACCTTAATCATATATAGGCACTATATGAAAAATTATCGTATTTGTCAATTACGGTTAGGCAGAAAGCTTTACTCTCTCTTAACCGCCTATAATCATTCTCACTTTTCAAATTTTGAATCTCAGATTAAAAAAGTCTAATTGTTGAACAGAATGATACAGATAGAGACACAAAGTACAGTAGGTTTTCTAACTCTGTAGACGAACACATGGAGAGACTAATACTATGAATTTATAGAGATATTGAAGAAAAACTTAAAAAGCAAGATGCAAGGTATATGGGGGAAATTATAGACCAATTTCTTTTAGTTTTACTTGAATGTAAAATTGTGTAATAAAAAAACCCAGAGGTTTTATGGTTCTAACATTGTAGTAAGTTGTAGTTAAGATGGGTGCTCTAGAATTGATGCCAAGATTATAAATAAAAGCCAAAAAAAGGTGGGTTTTGCTTGTTTCCAATTGTTTTCTTTTTTCTTTCTATATACATTTAAAATAGATTGCGACTTTCGTGCAAACAAATTTTTGGTGGCTCCACTACAGAATTATCCTCCTCTCTTATTTTTAATTGCACTGGTTTGATTCTCTTTCATATTTTTCTCCATGTTAACGTTTGGTCGAGCTAATGGTCTGAAAAAATAGCATCCAAAATCACCAACTTTGTTACTACCATATTATCCATATGCTCACAGTTGCAACAATGGCTCGAGTGCAACAACATCATACGTGGAGGAGCACCAGGGCACAAAGAGCTTCCAAATACTGTGTCTTCAAGAAGAGGCCATTGCAAAACAAGCAGTTCAAAATTCAGAGGTCATCATCTTATTGCAGAGACTTCCAGACAAGGTCATCATCCATTCCCATAGGGAGGATCCAGTTGAAGTCCCAATTAATGGGGTTATCAATGGGATACTGGGGCCCATTGTGCAGAAGTGTCAACTATAATGGCTGAATTTTTAAGCTTGTATTTTTCTGTCACGGAGAAGAAATTCAACCCATATTGCTTGACGACTGATCTTGTAATAATAAAACCTAGTGTAAGCATGTTACAACAGCATGCAATCAAGATGAAACTTTTTCTTCTTTGGGTTGGTTCAATCAAGATGAAACTACCCTTGGTGCCCTCCTTTTTATTTGGCAAATGGTCATAACCCTTGCAAAATTATTAAAACCCTCCTACAAAATCATTAATGCACCATTTGGGTTTTTGGATGCACAAATCTTACTAAGTTGAAAACCGGGTTTTGGAAATTTGTTGTTAAACCATTTTAGTTGTTCATTTCATAATTTTTTTTTTTGGGTAATTTCATTTTATTTCATAAGTTGATTTCATAGTTTTATATGTCTATGAGTTTTTGAAAATAAGATATCCATAATATGCTAAAGAAATTAGATGGTTCTCGACATTCATAATAGG